CCAAAGCCATTTGCCAAGGGGCCGGTGGAGCCCATCACACTCCTCTGTTTTTTTCCGGCGATATGCTCCGGATAAATCTAATTCCCAAGCTCAGTGTGAGCACACTTAAGACTTTTTTTCTTCCAAAATCTGGAGTCAATGGGAAAATCCCAGAGTTGCTTCTTCTTTTTTTTTTTTTCTTTTAAAACTCCACTGGAAGCAGATTTTATTAACTAACGCAGCAAAGCCCACACAAGAGAGAAGTTGCAATCGACTGCCTAACAGAGCTTGGTCTTTAAGCAAAGGTCAGCTGGAATTGCACTGGAAACCCAGGGAGGTTTTGAAGAGTGTCCTGAATGCTGATGGGGAGCTGGCTGCCCCGGCCCCGGCCCTCCCAGGTTTTCCAGCGTTGCCAAAACCCAGGGCTGAGGGTTTTGTCTCAGACATTAACACCACTGCTGCTGATAACACTGTGGAGGGCTTTTTGTGTTTCCTGGATTTTCACTTTTTTTTTGCCATGATGCTGTTTTCTGAATTAAAAAAAAGCAAACCAACCCACAGTTACCAAACAGCAGCACATTGCTGCACCGATTCGGGCTCTGTGGCTTTTACCCCACTCTATCGACCTGGAGATTGACCCAAAATGGCAATGTTATCCCCTGCGACTCCTCGCTGGCAGGTGCTGCCAGCCCACATCCCCCCTGGGAAGGGGGAAATTCTGCAAGTCTTACTCTTCCAACCCTCTCCTCCAGTTCCTGCCCTCGAGATCTGTCTCTTCTCCTGTTTCTCTCTTGAGGAACCCCCCAGAGAGGGGGTTTTTCATCCCACGGCTGATAACACGACACCCACCTCTGGCCTGGGGCAAGGGCCTCACTTCATTGACGTCGGGCTCGCTGTTGGGTTGGTGCACCTCTACCATGATGAAATGCTGGTTGGCCATGGCTTGTGGGCTGCCCTTGTCTGGTGGAGGGGGTGCCGGGTGGGGTGGAGGAGGAGGAGGGGATGGGGAAGGGGGGCTCTGAAGCCCACCAGCTGCGGGGCCATCCGGGGATGGGCTCTTCAGCCTCGTTGGGGATTGGACCCTGGGGAAGGGACCGATGGGGTGCTGGCTGACCAAGGAGAGCTGGGCATCCATTTGCCTCCTGGAGCTGTGCAGGGCCGGGGAAATGGTAGCATAGATAGGGCTTGGGGCAGACTCCTCGGTGGATGTGGTAGGGGTGGAGGTCATGCTGACTGTGTCCTTCTCGGGGTGGCTAGGAGGGGGCGTGGGGTTTCGGGGGGCCACGAAGAAAAGGCCTGACTGAGAGGACTCGGAGGAAGGGCGTTTGGGCTTGTCTTTCCCTGGGTTCCTGTGCTGGGCAGCAGAGGGGTCGAGCATCTGAGGGGCTGAAGGAGGAGGTGGAGGCTTGAAGTTGGGTGGTTCATCTGGGAAGGAGGAGAGATCATCCTGCCAAATCAAGAACAGAAGTTTTTAGGACATCATGCCCAGCTGCGAGAACTCTCCCAGGCTCAGAGTCACCCGCATCTGCCTTCTCATGGCGACCACGGCAAAACAAGCTGATTTTCACAGAAACACCTGTCTGACCTTATTGGCAATAAGAATATGACTCACAAATGAGGACGACTAGAGGACAAACTACCCAACTTTTGCTTTGGTTTACATAGATGCTACTCTTATTCAGACAGCCAGAATCCTTCTTCCTAATCGGTCCGATTAATTTGCTTCAGCGACTGCAGGGACATCCGTAGGGCGTTGGGGTAGCAAAGAGCTACAGAGGCTGAGGCAAAACTCAGTATCATCAGTTTGCCTCCAGCTCCCATCCGAGGCGCAGCGGTACAGCGCGGTGTCTTACCAGGGAGATGTCCGGCAAGGTGTTGATGCTACTTTGGTGGCCGTCTCCACCTCCCTCCAATTCTGACGTGTTCTGACAGGACAAAGAAGGAAGAGAAAACCAGGTCACAGCAGCAAGGAGCAACCACCACAGCGCCAGCATGATAGGGAACATGCAGAGTGATGCAGGTTATCACCCAAACCCCCCAGGCAAGGCCAATCTTTCACCCAAAGGTTTTTGTTTCCTTGGAGGTTCCCCGGAGACTCACACATCATAAGAGCAAAGCAACTTTGTTGGGAGACAGACTCTCCCAAGCTAAGAAGCATGCTCAAAGCATACTGTGACCCTGACCTACCGGGGCAATCTCCTCTGCAGCGGAGGAGTGTGTTCCTCTTAACTCAAATCTCAGCTCCTCCTGTTTAATTTGGAAGGAGGGGAGGAACCAGCTCTGAGGGCTGCAGGTTCAATACCTGGATCTTTCCCAGGAGAAGGGCAATAGAGAAGTTTAAAACTTCCCTCCCTTGTAAATCAGAGCAGTCGGTCTCAGATGCAAACAGAAGCTGCTGGCACTGCTTTCCCTTTACGAGTCAAAATGTCATTAGAAAATGTCACGACATAGCCCTGAACATATCACAGCTCCAGAAATCTAGAAGGGCTACGGGAATCCGTCAGTCTGTCTGTGCAGGGGCAGCTGTCAAGCAGGATGGACCCAAGGAGAGGACGCGCATACAGTCAAGCAGAGCAAACAGGCACCCAGGCTAAGTAACAGCAGGGAAGGCAGAACTGGGGACATGCAGCGGAGGTTGGGTACACAGCCCTGCCCTGCCGAGCCATGCCTGGATGGGGCTGAACCCAGCTGGTCCTGAGTCCAGCCCAGAGCCATGGCTCTGCCGCTGGCTTTGCCCCAGGCAGGCACCAGGGACTACTCGGGGGGATGCTCGGCCAGTGGTCCACATCCCCAGCTCCGCCTGCATCCCCTGCAAGAGCAAACCCAGACTCAGCACCCTCCTCCCACAGTAACTCCTGATCCGGAGAGGTGCTGCTGCTGCTCAGAAAGGCTGTACTTCATTTCTGTCACGTTCACAGGGATGTTTGTTCGTTTGTGCTGGAATGGGCAGGGTACAGTTTGTGTTTAACTGCGTGTTATTTATTGCAGGGTAAACAACCGATTAGTTGAAACGCTGGTGCATCTGCATTTCCCCCATCTGCTGGAGGCTTCTGCTGTGCCTGTAAGATGTTAGCATCCCAAAATAGACATGGAAGACAATTAAGAGCATTAGAGAAGCAGCAAAAACATTGATGGAAAGCGCTTTTATCTCTGTGGCTTCAGAAGGAACCCTAGAGAGTAAGAACTAAAAGAAATGGCTTGTTCGGAGAGTGACAGGTAAAGCATCAGCTTGGGAAACCACTCCTTCCTCTGATGAAGGTTGATTTTATCATCAATTAATCCAAAGTAAAGGCAGGTGGCTTTTGAAAGAGAAACATGCCCTACCCCTTCTTGGGTTACTGACCACTCAGCAGGCCACGGCAGAAGACAGATTTGGCTGAAACGCATGGCAGCAATAAGGGAAAGGTCAGGCTTCAGCCAGACCTGGCATGCCACAGGACTGCAAATCCAAGTGCTGGCACGAGGGACGGGGCGATACCGTACATCTGAGGCTGGAGGAAGAAGCAGGTAGGGCTATTTCAAAAGCCACCTGCCTTCATACTGATTAAAATGATCATGAACTTCTCTGGGCCGTGAACACATTTGCAATAGGTCTTCAGATTTGATTGAAGTGTCAAATGAGTTTAAAAGCTCGAGTGCCATCACGTCCCTGTGTGACGCCGAGGAGCAGAGATGCTCAGCCGGACAAAATGCAGTGCTGGGGAAACCGCACCAGTGCACTCGCCCCAGAGCTCCCTCCTTTTGCCGTCGTTTCCTCTAACGAGAAAGTTGTCCTGGAGAAAGCTGCCCAGGCATCCCCCTCCCTCTGCACCAGCCCACCTCCAGATGCTGCCCAGAGCCTTTAATCCAGCCAAATGGCTGCGTGCACAAGGAAAGGAGCCAAGGCGGAGATGGTGGCATTTCAGCACCAGCCTGGCCGCTTCCAAGAGGATCTCAGCTGTGTTCCCAGCTCTTCCCTCTCCAGCCCTGCCTCTGCCAGCCTCAACCTGCCTCCAAGAGTTCACTGAGCTGTTGGCAAATGCGTGAGGACCAGAACCCCGCAATATGACCGGGAGCAACCTGCCATCAAATCGTCATACTTACATCGCTACTTTAAAAAGAGTCTGCCTGATGCCCCCCTAAAATCTGCTACTGCCATCTACCCCAGTCCTGCCACTCAACTCTGTGCCCATCACCATGACATCCAGCCCATCCCAGAGCGCATCACCTGCCGTGTCCCAGGCCCGGCCTCACAGCCAGGACCAGTCTGTGCCAAGACTTGAATTCCCCTGGCAAACGGAGGGTGGGTACAGCCAGCTGCACCCCGTGCCCTCCCTGCCAGACGGCCCCAATCCTGCCGCCCCGGCCCTGCTCTCCCTGCACAGCCAGGGACACAGATACCGCTCGTCTTCTGCAGGGCACCTTTTTCGGCTGAAGTGCGCAAGTAGGAGATTTGTCTTTCCCCAAGCTTAGTACTTTGGGGGCAAAAGCAATTAAACAGAAATTGCTCTGCGCTATAAGATGTAATGGCTTTTAAGCTGAGCACATCTGCTTTCAGGAATTGGCTATTTTAAGCCTGTGCTTTCCTGGATTTCCCTTGAAAGACCCATCAAAGCCACGTGCCACTGCTCTGAAAAATGAGTATTTATTGAGGAGGCTGCTCCCTCCTACCGACTCTCTGCTCCTTTACCTCATCTATTTTCTAGTGACTCACAGAGATTGGAGGCCAGGAGAGGCCCTTCCAGCCCCTCCGCAGGGGGCAGCTGGAAAACTTTCCTCCTTCCTATCTTGCATGGAGCCCACGGCAGGAGCGAAGGAGCTGGAGAGCATTTTTCAGACAGGCAGCCAGTTTCCATTCGCAGATTAAGTGCTGGAGAAACTGCCACCTCCCTGGGGAATACAACCCAACCTTTAATTAACCTCCCAGCTCCCAATGAGTCCCTTATTTTCCAGTTACTGCTAATGAGAGCTTTGCAGAGCTACTCAGCCTGACTCCTGCAGGGTTTAAATTTTGAACAACTGCACCAGTCTGAGAATAAGCCCAGCTTTCCCCTGCTCCCCCCTTCCCTCTCCCACCCCAGAACCCATCCGCAGGGGCTGGGGGAGCCCTGGCCCTGCCCCAGCCTGAGCACAGACCCCTCTGATTTCGGGGACACAGAGATCACCTGCAAGCTGCCAAAGAGGCTGTGGGCTCTCGTGCTTGAGATTCGCTTTCCCGAGAGAGGAAGAGCTCAGTGCCATCCTCTCCTTACTTCTTGTGAAACGGAGACCAAAGACAGATAGGGGCAAGTGACTCAACTGGGTTACTGCGCTGGGCCCAATCCTGCAGCTTCAGGGAGCTGGGAGCAAGTCAGCGCCTGTGGAATCAGGCCCTGGGAGGAGAAGGCACCTTTGGATGGCAGTGTCTTTGCTAGGAGGCAGTGGAGAAGAAAACCAAAATCAACAGGGATTTCAATTCCTTAATCCTAACAGTGAGGGCTGGGGCAGGAGGCAGGGACAAAGGAAATGCTAGACTGCCTTGCTTGTAAGCAATTAGAAATTCATACTGCTCTTATCAGACAAGTTGCAGCTGATTATTGCGGTCTACAATTAACCTCTGCTTTGCAGGACTCATCTTGAGATCCAAGATTTACAGGAGGTGATGGTGACACTTAGATAGGCAGACACACAGCATCTGTGGGTGGCACCATCAAACACGGCTCTGTCATTTCCAACTATCCTTCAAGCATCTCACAATGGAATTGCTTTTCACGTGGCAGGTCCCGATCAGCCTTATACTGGTTATTTTTGGCGTAAGTTCACCTACTGACCCACGGAGAGCTGATGGGACAGGGGGCTTGGTCTAGTGTCACGGCCTTTGGTCATGAAGCCAAAGAAATCCGTGTCCCATGGTTGAGGATGCCTGCAATAAATGCAGTCTGGGAGTACCACAGCTATCCTCTTCTAGCTGAGCGCCATTCCCAGAGGGATGCGGCTTTTGGACCAAGTTCACAGCTACCAGAGGTCCTCTCTCCCAAAGCAGTACTAGCAGCTCTCAGCTCCACCACTTGCTGTGGGTGCTCAACCCCCTGACCCCCGTGATTTCCTCCCAGACAAGGAGGAGAGAATGCACTCCGCAGCACGGAGCTGTGCCGCAGGGCACCAGCCTGCAGCTTTTCTCAGCCTTCTCCCAACCAAGAGCTCTGCTAATGACAGAGGCCTTTCTGAGGCTCTCCCCACATCCATGCCTAGCCTCTCTAAACTCTGTGAGGATTTCTCCAAGGCTGAACAAGCACAATGCGAGTACACCGACCCCTCCTGCACCGCAGCACAGACTTTTGCAGACCCAAGGCCCGTAAGGAAAACTCTGGCCCATCCCTGAGGATGCGTGCCGGGATGCGACCAGCCTACTGGTATTTAGCCAGGGTGCCCAAACAGCAAGACAGCACAGCAGCGGACAAAGCAGGCAACAAGGCAGGAAGGGCAGTCTGGGGTCCATCCGGATTTAATGCTTCTGGTCCTTCTAAAACCCCAGCCCTGAGCCGTCAGTGGCATGGAGGGCTTTAGGGCAAGCAGGACCCTGGTACCAGCTGGGTTTGGTTCAAGGCTGAGTCTTGTCCGCACTGCAGCACCAAGGCCGGTCCGGCGGCCGTGCTGCCGAGCTGGGAAAAGGGACTCTGGAATGGCTCAGCAGAGCCACAGGAAGAAAAGGCAGGGATGGGGGAAAGGAGGGGGCTGTTCACGTGGCCGAGTCGCATGCTGGTCCCTGGACGGCCTGTACCCCACCTCCCGCCCCACGCACATTCGCACGCACTCTCAACCCGTCTACTATGGCAACCGCAGTACTCGAACTCCCCGTCTCGCTGACAGCCCCTACCTCCATCAGGTCTATTAGCCACAAGAGTCGCTCCTGGGGATGTGCGAGGGGAAAAGCAGATTAAAACAAGCATAAAAGCGAAAACATAACATCAGGGAGGATGCAGAACAAATGAGCGAGACAAGCAAATCCCAGTGCAACGCATCCCTCCTCCCCCAAAACCCACCCTGCAGAATCCACATCCAGCTGCCTCCCGTGCTGGCTGTGAAGGCTGAAATGAGCCCCTCCTGCGAGAGGTGCTGGGGAGGGCAACGGCAGCAGGGGCTTAGGGCAGAGGAAACACTTTGGGAGCTCTGTCCCTCTTCTCTCCTTCTAGCTGAGATAAGCACTCATGCACCAGGAGCTGGTGCTTTTTGCTTGGCTGTTGTTTTAGCAAGCAGCGGTGACAACCATCTCAGGTGCCAGCGTTCCCAACACCCGAGGCAGAGCTCAGAGGGGCGTCCTTCTCAGGAAGGACCTGCAGTGTGACCGAGGGACACAGGTTCTCAAAGGAAGCTCTTAAAACAGTGGTGTCCACTCTCTTCTCTATGCTGGAAGAGCATCTTGGTCTCCCTCCGTGACCTCTGGGCTCCTGTGCCAGGTGGGGCTGGGCCATCGCTCACACACCAGGCCAAGCGCCACGCTTGGCACGTGGTGTCACGGAGCAGGAGGGAGAGCACGGCACAGCCGAAGGAAGCTGTACGGCCCCAGGCAGAGGGAGAGCACAAGAACAGGGTGTCACGCTCAGCGCACAAGTCCTGGCAGACCTGTGTTAGCCCTCTGATACTTCAGAAAGATTTTCCCAGCAGGTCTTCGGAGAGCAGAGCAAAACTTGCTTTGTTTATCCTGATTCAGAAAGGACCTCGCCGTAATCCTTCCTGAACAGAGCAGATGGCTTTCCTATGGGTATTTGTGAAGTCAACAGGACAAAAGCAGAGCTCCGATGCTCTGAAACTCTCCGAGGTGTCTCGGGAGGCTGGACCGAACTGCGTAGGCAGGCAGAGCCCCAGGGAAGCCCCCCC